GTAACATCTTTGTTTGGAGTGTTGAATGTGTTTGGATTGTGGAACTATGCAGTTGTTGCCTTTAAAATTACATGGTTACAGTTAATGTTTTCATTTAAGGCCAGTTTATGGTTTCAACCCAATTTAAAAACAAAAGCTAAATGCTTTTGTCAGTAGGCCTACCTATGTTTTGTATTGAATGCAGCAGTTACTGCTGTTAATTTCAGATAGTTACAGTTGTTGTTTTCAATAGCCAAAACCCAGTTTAGCCTGTTAAATACCAAATAAACATCTTGTTTGTGTGTACTTTTATTCTTTCTTGTTTGTTGCGTGATAAAAAAAAAAAAAAAATCGGAATCGGAATCGGCCAGTTTGCTTGTAAAAAATCGGTATCGGAATCGGCTATGAAAAATCATGATCGTGCATCACTAATAAACACAGCTAAGGCTTGTCTTATATGTTTTACCTGCTCTTGAAAATGGCATTACTAACAGCTTACTGTTAACTAGACAGTATTACTCCCAATGCACACATTTCTACTCAATCTATATCAAACATCTGAAGCTGAATTAGCCTATTTATTGGGTGAAGTCAGCTCATACCTTTGCTCCAGCTTTCTGATTGGAGCAGAGAACTGTGCATGCTGGAAGAGCCGCCCCTGAACCATAACTCCTTGGGATGGCGCTGGACTCATTATCAGATAGCTGGTTCGATTGGGGAGCGGAGACACACTCACTGAATGAGCTGCTTCACTAGGAGACCATCGACAACAACAACAACACAAGGCATGAGTATATACATTCACTAGAAATAAAAGGGAAAAAAATAAATAAATGAAGATTCAAAAGATCTTGCAAATGAAATACACTTCTAATTCATGGAATTATTAAGTCCTTAAACTATAATAATTATAGAATTCGTTTTTTTTTTTCATTTGCCATAGGCTACACGATCATGATTATTTAACTCAAATTGCAATGACGATTATTAATCACGATTATTGACATTTTAGAAATTTCATTTTACATTTCATCATAATTATTGCACTTTCAAATCAAGAGAACATCAACTTGCATGATTTATTTGACCTCATCTAGTTTCCTAATGTATTATGTTTATCATGTAAATTAACACACTCCTTACATTATGAGAAATGGTACAAGAAGCTTCTCTGAACAGCTAAACAAACCTTTTTTCAATTAAAACAATGTATAATGCTATATTCAAGCAACCGCAATTGCAAACAATATAGAAGAGAATCATGTTTTGATTTATTCGTTTATCACTGAGGTTCGCTTCCAGATTTAGTCACAGCAACAGTGCAAATGACCACGTGAAAGAAAACATATTACACTTTCATTTGGGCAGATCTTGCATGTTTGCCATTGTTTTCAGCTCATTAGTTCTTGTGCATGGTTGCCAAGTTGTGAATTTAAGTAAAACGCTATCTTTTTAAGAGAAAAGCACTAATTGGGGGATGTAAACTCTTGAAATCTGGCGGTGAAAGCTTGTTACCAATGCAAGAGAACAAAATGTCAACTGAAAATGAATAATTTTTAGTATATTAATCAGAGGTAGGCTTGCTGCGATAGACGGTGTTTTCGGTTATGCCGGTGTTAAGCCGCAACACCGGTTATGTCATTTGGCTACCGTGGCACCGCCCCCCACCGTCTGATTTTTTTTTATAGTAACTCAAATCATTTAGCCTAGTTCAGTTAAGAGGACAGACACTTAAAAACAAAACGCTCAATGCAGCGTGCCGAACCATGCGCGAACGACAGTGCACCATGGAGCAGGAGTCAGATTTTATTTATCACGTGAGGAGAGTGAGTCGAGCTGACTGACAAGAGTGAGCTGAGACAGACAAGACGATGGCAGAAGATTGATTAGAAAGGAAATGCAAAGGCGCCTGTTGAAAAGCCTATTGACTGGAAGTCTTTTTTAAACATTCGTTTCTTATTTATTTGGTTCCACAGTGTTTGCTGATTACTGTATTTAAACTTTTTTAAATTTAAGTTTTATTTATTTTATTTTACATCAAGGTGTACATGCCATACCTCCAAGCTTTCTTATTCATTTTGCTAATAAACGTTCTGTTTCTTATTTATTTGGTTCCACAGTGTTTGCTGATTTTCAGTTTTATATACCTATTTAAACTTTTTGTAGCCTAAGCAATTTGTTATTTTATTAGGCATATATGGTGTATTTTTATTCGTTTTGTTAATAAAAGTTCTGAGTTTGACGTTGTTGTTGCTTGAATTGAATCATCTGCCAAATTGCCGCTAATTTGAAAGTGAAAGTAAAACTAGCACGGCGCTTTTTCAAGTTATTTGAAAGCCAAGAAATCCGAGGAAAAGAAGGAAAACTCAAACAAACAATTGCTTGATGCCGAATTGCGGCAATTCAATTGCCGCTAATTTGAAAGTGAAAGTAAAATGCGCACGGCACTTTTACAAGCCATTTGAAAGCGAAGAAAAGAGGGAAACTCAAACGAACTAACACCTCCTTATATAAAATTTTAAAAAACAAGCACCGCACTTTTACAAGCCATTTGAAAGAGAAGAAAAGAGGGAAACTCAAACGAACTAACACCCCCCCACCCCAACGGTGATACCGGTATTACTGGTGTTGTCACACGTCAATTAACCGGTGGGAAAATTTGACACCGTCACAACCCTAATCAGAGGGTATATATTTTATGCTTAAATAATTGAGAGAATCAGAAATTTTAATAAGATTAATCATGCAACCCTAATACATGTACACACACACACACACACAAACACACACAATACAATTGCAATACCTAAGCTTGCCGGTTCTGTTGGGTGGCCTTAATTGATTTGGACGTCAGAAAATTTGACACCGTCACAACCCTAATCAGAGGGTATATATTTTATGCTTAAATAATTGAGAGAATCAGAAATTTTAATAAGATTAATCATGCAACCCTAATACATGTACACACACACACAAAAACACACACAATACAATTGCAATACCTAAGCTTGCCGGTTCTGTTGGGTGGCCTTAATTGATTTGGACGTCGTTCATGAGTCTCCATAGACCCATTAGCACTGAAGCGCTTCATGGATGGAGTCTACCAAAGACAGATCAGAGTGCTCAGGTTATAAGGTCACAGCTCAACATAATAGCCCAACCCTAACAACCATCAAACTGGAGTTCATTAACATGTAACTGACCACAGTTGCTCTATATGGCCAAAATAATGTTGTATTATACCATTTAGCATTTTTTTTCAACCTTTGTCTATTCCAGTCATTTTAAATGTTACATCATATAATGACATTCTAGAAAATTGTGCGCTTTACACTTTGTTGCTAACAATTTGGGTCCTTTCCCCCCAATCCCACAAAATGATGACCAGTGTTGGGGGTAATGCATTATTAGTAATGCGAGTTACGCAATCAGATTACTTTTTTTAAGTAGCTAGTAAAGTAATGCATTACTTTTTAATTTACAAGAAAATATCTGAGTTACTTTTTCCAAATAAGTAACGCCAGTTCCTTTGTTTTCCCCATTTATTCACTCCTGTACTCATGTTGAGAAAAATCTGGAGCAAGTACAGAGGCATTCATTGTGTGCCCTGTGTATGGTTAGCTCTATGTGAACATGCATTTACTCATCTCACTTGCACAAAAACAGATTCAGCATTCCTCCAAATGAATAAAGAACAGTGAAATGCAAACTCAGAATATGACGCAAATCTGCAACACTTAAAAGGTTAATAACACAAATATCCGTTATGTATTTAATCCTATTTTATTAAAGGGTACCTATTATGCAAAATTCACTTTTACATGTTGTTTGAACATAAAAGTGTGTTGGCAGTGTGTGTACACAACCACCCTATAATGATAAAAATCCATTGGAGATGGATGGTGATGGAGATTTACTACTAATCACAGAAAAAGCTAAAGTTATGCGTTTTAAAATAAAAACACTCTAGTGTAAACGTAGCCTCAATCTGCAAAGTTTGTATTTTTCTCACACAACTTCTGTAATAATTCCAGAGCAAATGACCTACTGTTTTTCTGCAAACTCAGTGATCACAGCTGAGAAACCTAATCCCATTCGAATGCGAATGTCTGTGATTGTGACAATATTTCACAACGCATTTCCTTGTGGGTTTTAGCCAATGTGAACTACCGTAGACACTCCTAACACCACGCGCATATTCTGCTTGGTGCGTGTCATCCGAGGCAGAGCTGAACACAAACAAGCAACGTATACTTGAGGTTTCATGTGTGCATAAACAGTCAAATATACACAAAATATGTCAAAATGTCTGTCTTGGTGAGTATTTACATATGAAGACAGCCAGTTATGTCTTAAGTGAACATCAACAATTGGGAAGGAAATCGGATGTGTGTCAGTACATTCCGTCTTAAAGCCTAACACAAATACCTGCTGCTGTCTGTGTTATTAATGTTAATCAAACAACAAATGACAAAACCATTCACTGCTCTTAACTGAATCACTTCATAACTTTAATAAGAATGAATGTATAGTTGATTCATACAGTGAGGCAGTGTTTTAAATTTTAACTCTGGCTTTAATTACCATTTTGGTTGTTTAATGCAATACTGCGTTTTAAATTGTTCAAATAGATAAGTCATAGGCTTGCTCCAGTCTGGATATTCTTGATAGTACCTCTCAAAATTGGGAAGATCACAATTCAGATCATAGATCCTGATTTTGTGTGATAAGATCGTGATATGAACATTTGAGAAGACCACCCAACAGTAGAAATACAATACAGACCCTAGGTGAATCGGGAAAGAGAAACAGAGAGGACTGGAGCTCTATCACTGACAGATAACTGAAAGAAAATGGACCATATGAGAGGGATGGAAAGATTGTGGGTACCTTCATTCCCTCAGGGGAAAGCTCCTGCTGGCCACTCACTCTGCAAGCTGTTCTGTGCTAAATGACCTTACTCATGTCTGCTGTCGTCTTCACTATCATCTGAGAGAGAACACCTCCAGGTCTGCTTAAAGCCTCCATCTCTCCTGTCCTCACATTTATCCAGAGCTATCAAACACATCAGAACAACGTATCAGAGCACGGCCATTAAATAACTGATAGCAAAAGGAATCAAAATCTTTAGAAAACAGCTGAATAAGAAATGAAATGTACATATACATCAAGATTCAGACATATGAACACAGCAATTGTGCTCTCACATCCGCACCAAAATAATCAGTCTGTGTAATCACTCTTCTCCGAAACAGGTGCATTTCAAGAATAATGTCCCGATGGAGGCTCTAACTGGTAAATGATATCAAATTTACCTTCGGGAATGACGGCTACATTCACAATCAGCCCGCTGAGCTAACTTTTCGATGGATGATGACATGAGAAACAAAGTTGTACTCAATGAGAGGACGGTTTTACTCACACAAGACTTGCATAAACGCATTTTGGTATGCTCTGAAATGTTACCTTGAAAGTGAACCAAACCAAGAAGAAAACGCAACATTTTAAAAATCAGACAATCCTTAGACACAGCGAGACAGAAGTAACGACTGCAGAAAAGATTTCTGAAAATGGAAAACATTTATTATTTCTGTCAAATATCAATTACACTATTACTGTTATTTTTGATCAATTAAATGCTATATTGGTGAACAAACGCATTTTTTCATGAACACTAACAACATTTCTATCAAAAACAAGGTGATTCTAATATGTGACCCTGGAGCACAAAAGCAGTCTTAAAATCGCTGGGGTATATTTGTAGTAACAGCCAACAATACATTGCATGGGTCAAAATGATACATTTTTCTTTTATGCCAAAAATCATTAGGACATAGACTTGTGCCGGTATTCGGTAATGCGATATATCACGGTAATGAATTTGCACGATATTGTTATCGTGGGCACTTCTAAATATCGTGAATAATTATATATTACAAATTATTCTGAATTTTGAATGCATTTTAAGAATACTTTTCCCATCAACTGGTCAGAATGCACAACACTGCTGTACGCTGCGTGGAAGACGCGTGCGCACTCTGATGTAAATAAGTGCGGACGAGAAGCACACGGCGGAACATGTGAGAGACGCTCTGGAGGAAAGCGCACTTTCACTCTCTGATAGCAGATGGCCAAAATAATAAGCAATAATAATAATAATAATAATTCATTTAAATGCAGCCATTACTCCGGAAACCCTGTAAACAAAGCAGCTGCACTACTTTCTGTTTCTGAATCGTGTTTAAATGATTTAAACAGCCATTCAGATTTGTGTATTTGCTTAAATATTTAGACTTAATAGGCTATTTATTTTCAATTTTTTTTTACATTTTAATCTGGACTACAACATGACCTAGATATTGTTTGAAAGTGTTTTTGATTCTTTATTGTTCGGTCACACTTTACATTAGCGCTTCATTAGTTAACATTAGTTAACAAACTGCCAATGAAAAATTCTTCTGAACATTCATTAATCTTAGGTATTCCAATATTTAAATCACACGTTGTTAAAATCGAAAGTTGCAACTGTGTTATTTAATGAGCTAACATGAACTAAGACTTGTATTTTTT